AACCACATAATGAATTGATAATCATGTGAAGCGATGGAGGTGTTAGCTAATGTGACAGTGATAATCCTATTATAGTTTATAAATGTATCAAGTTAACATGTTGTACATCTTAAACTTAGTGTTATATGTCAATTATATCTCACTTGACATTAAAAAAAATGGGTACCTGTTTGATTACTATATTTAAAGTCCTTATATATAAGTCCAAATGCAGTATTTAAGCAGAGCATTCAGTATTGTGAATTTGTTTCTTAATATCCTGATATCCTTAATATCTGATATCTTTAACATGAAATGACTACTGCTGCTATAATATTAAGGCTTCCTTTAGGTTTAAATTTTTAAAACTTACATGTACTTTTGTAAGGAAATTATTTTGGTTTCCTCTCCTTTTTCTTGACAGATGGCCAGAGTGGTTGGAGGTGCCCTGCCTGTCAGAATGTTTCTGCACATGTTCCTAATACTTACACTTGTTTCTGTGGTGAGTTTTTTTTGCTTTCACTTGAGTCTCTTCCACTTCATGCATTGTAACTCATTTTCCAACCCAGAAGAAGTGATGTACCAGGCATATTTTAGAAGTTCCTAATAAGACTTCAAGGTTCCAGGAGTTTACTGACATCATCTGCCTGTGGTCCATCACACAGCCAGAGTTACAGGCCTTTGTGCTTTTGGCAGGCTTTTCTGGACATGGGCCTTCTCATCATGCCCACCAGGCTCATGCTACTTCTGAGCTGTGGTGCTGGTCTCCGTGATCTTTTTTTTTTAAGATTTTATTTATTTGACAGAGAGAGACAGAGCAAGAGAGGGAACACAAGCAGGGGGAGTGGGAGAGGGAGAAGCAGGCTCCCCGCTGAGCAGGGAGCCCGATGTGGGGCTCGATCCCGGGACCCTCGGATCACGACCTGAGCCGAAGGCAGATGCCTAACGACTGAGCCACCCAGGTGCCCATGGTCTCCGTGATCTTACCTTTAGACCAGAGATCTTACCTGACCAGATGGTGGAGGCAGGCATAGACATGGACTCCTTCTCACCCTTAACTGTAACAGCTTTGATATTCCAGATTTGAGCAGTATGAGTAAAGTGTTGAAAAGTACTTTATTTTAACCCAGGAAATCAGTCATTGGGGTCTTTATAGTAAAGAAAGATTTTCTATAAACCAGCATTACAAACTCTATCCTCCCTCTTTGTGGAAAACTTCTTCCTGTTTTTGAATAGCTCAATTCCCCTATGTGTTAAGAAGAACTTTCTTCAATCCAGATGCTCATTCTTGCTGCTAGTCTATTTTCTGCATGTTTTTTATTATTTTTTTTCTTTCCTGCCTTTTAATGGCTAACCTTCATCTAGTTGTTGATTTTTCAAATTTTGTTTAACTGTCTGTGTCCCTTCTTGAACCATTGCATTTTTGCTTCTTTCTTTGTCACCTTGCTACATCTGTTTTCAGAAGTCATCAGTGGCCCATACCTGACCAAATCCAGGGCTGATTTAGAAGTTCTTAACCTTTTTGGCAACACAGTAGCCCTTGGACCTTTTGGCCATTCCTTTCTTGAAATGACTAGCTCTTCCTGTTTATTTCTGTAGGCTTTAATTTGCTCATATTTTTTCTTTCCCATTACATAACTAGCAGCTTTCACTGAGAGTTAGTCTTGACCATCAAGTCTTCATCAGTCTCTTGGTGAACTCAACTATGTTCTTCCCCATCTTCTCTTTAAATCTTCATCACTGACTCCTCATCCATTCAAGATCAGACCCCAAACATTGTTTTCCAAAGGAAGCCTTCCTTTCTTATCTCCTCTCCCACTTTGGCCACTCTTTTATTTGGAATCTGCTGGTCTTTTATGTTTTATTGCCACAATCTGAGCCTTAAAAGATAGTAAAATAGTATTTGTTGAAGGAATGAATATTTTGGAATGTACTATTGGAAAGGCAACCTGAAACTGGAAGCAAGAGATCCATGTAAAACTATACAAATAGGACCAACACCAAAGCTTAATTACCTTATTTTAAAGGATTTTTAAACATAAAACACCACAGTGGAATTAAAAATCTTGTTAAAGCCTTCACTGACAGATCTCAAGTGAAGAAGAATAAAAGTATATAATGGGTGTTAGAGTGGGAGAGAAAGGAAGGGGGTACAAGATTTCAAAGGTAAACAGGAATTAACAGCAGTGGGAAAGGGAAGAACCTAAATGTGGCTCCAAAGTTTCATGCTTTTGGAAATGATGATACCAAGGGCAGAAAAAGGCAGGTCAAGAGAACCAGGATTGATAGGGACAATGAGTTCAATTTAGAAATGTTGAGTAGGATGAGTGAACAAGGCATCCAGTGAGAGGTGTCCAACAAGGAGTTAGGAATATTTAAAGATTTTTTTGTTATTATTATTTGAAAGAGAGCATGAGCTGGGGGAGAGGCAGATGGAGAAGGAGAGGCAGACTCCCCGCCAAACAGGGAGCCCGATGCAGGGCTCGATCCCAGGACCCTGGCTGGGATCATGACCCCAGCCAAAGGCAGACACTTAACCAACTGAGCCAACCAGGCGCCCTGGGAGCTGGGAATATTTAAAGAGAGATCAGGACTTAGAGATGATAGTTGCAGTTGAGAGTAGTGGATGGAAGGGCAAGGAGTAAAAAGGGTCTAATGCAGAGCCCTGGCAGAAAGAAGAAAAATAAAACATCATTTAGAGTCAGGGAAAAGAGGTGGAGCCATTGAAAGATGGTAGGGGGAACCCAGGGCATTGTATTAAAGCAAGAGAGCACAGAGGCGGGGAAGTTTTTCTAATAGTCTGGAGTTGAGATTCTGGCAAATAGACAAGAGTAGAAGTAGCAGGAGAGTTGAAGTGAGATACACTGTGTAGGGAAATTGAGAAGATTTGGTGATTAAGTAGATTATGGAAAGAAAAAGAGAGTCGGGGATGACTCTGGTTTTTGAGTCTGTGACTCTCGACAGTGATGGTGTTACTGACAGAAATAGGAAACACTGAAGAAGGAGGGGTTAAAGAGAAAAGATACTAACTTTGGCTGTAAATGTAGACAGTTTGGGGTGACTGTAACACCTCACATGGAGATGTTCAGCAGATGGGTTGGACAGAGAGGGCCGGAACTGAGGATTCAGGGCAATGCAGAAAGTGTAGATTTGGGGGGAAAAAAGGAAAAAGAAAGAAAATGTAGATTTGGGAATCACAGGCCTTCAGGTACAACGAACCTCTCAACATGAATAAGGTTTCTGAAAGAAACAAGATAGAAAAGCAGAGCCCAAACACTGGGGACAGGCCATCACTTAGGGTATAAATTGCCCAAGTAAAGATGAGTTCCTCAAGGGCATGGAGGAGTCCCGTGCCTCAGTTTTACAGTTCCTGCCTCTGTGCTAAGTTCATGGAAGATAGTCACTAAAGATTTGCAGAGACACCCTAATTATAAAATTATAGCCCTCTTCTGCCTACTTCATAAGCTTTAGATTTGGCAAGTTCCTACTGTACAGGGGATTTATGTCCTTTCCATCTCTTACTGCTCCCCCATCTCCCACCCCATTGTTCTCTTCCCTTATTTCTTCTTTCTGATCCTTATGGCAGATATTCCCATATCTGTTCAAGGGTCCATTTACAAAAGATTTACCTTGTAGGGTTGTTTGTTTTTTTTTTTTAGATTAAATATGTTGGTTAGGCAAAGTGGCATTTTCATAAGTAAAAATGACTTATTTCTCTTTTCCAGATAATCCAGAATTTAGGATTTATCATACTCAGTGAAGTTTTTGATGAGTAGCATTACAGTCATCTTTTTATTTTAGGATGTGGGATAATGTGTTTGTCAAACTAAAGAAAACCACACTGAAGTTCATGCTGTCTAGCTATATTATACTGTTTCATTAAAGTATAAGATGTGGTTGAAGTTTATACCATTGACTCTCTGATCTGATATGTTTTAGGCAAGGTAAAGAATCCTGAATGGAGCAGAAATGAAATTCCACATAGTTGTGGTGAGGTTTGTAGAAAGAAACAGCCTGGCCAGGACTGCCCACATTCCTGTAACCTGTAAGTTGGAACACTAGACCCCTGGAGATTCCTGGTAGACACACTTTGCTCATGGCTCTGAGTACATATATCTGGTGGTTAGCATGTAACAGGATGGGGTGAAGGGCAATATGATTTCAATTTACTGAACACTTACCCTGTGCCAGGCACTCTGCAAGAGTTAACTCATTGAATCCTTACAACAGCCCAGAGATGTATAGATCTTTATCATCTCCATTTTATTGATGAGGCTCCGAAAGGCCAAATATCTTGCCCAAAGTCATAGTGCTAGGACATGGTGGAGATGGGGTTTCCACGATACTATACTGCTAGCTTCTAAGAAGAAATATCCCCCAGTGATATCCAGGTCCGAAAGAGTGACTAGGACAGACTTCTGTCTGTGAAAAGGCAATTGTGTAGTGTCCTGTTGCACGTGTTTTTAGGATGTGAATCCCTCTGTCCAGTAAGTAGCCAGCTTTACAATGTATCTAGTCAACTTCTACATAAGAGGAATACCCAATACTAACAGTTGATTAGTTACAAATAACAAATTTCTACAGCTTTGACTTCAGACAAATGTTTAATTCCTGGGGTCAAGTCACTTAACGGTTGTGTGACCTTGGGCAGGTTACTTCTCTAAGCCTCACTTTCTGCATCTGTAAAATAATAATGATACGAACATCAATATTTATCTCATAGAGTTCTATGAATATTAAATTAATGCATCTAAGAGGCTTGGTACAGAGTCTGGCATATGGTAAATGGTCAAGTAATGGTAACTTGTTTTTATTACCCAAATCTAAAAGTAAAACAGACTTCAAAGTGTTACCTTGGTGCTTGTGCTGCATGGAGCAGGAGCAAATGTTGGGCCAGAGGCCTTGTGGGTCAGGATGTGGGTTGCTGCTGGGGAATTGCCCATGGTAGGAGAGCTGCCCAGACAGGGATACAGAGCCTGGCCTGCTGCCTGCTGGGCATTCAGCCCCTAACCTTCTTTTACTGCTTCTATAGGTCCTTCCTCAGAACCCAGGGACTCATCTGTT